CCAGCCCTCCAGCATGGCCACCATCCCTCCAAGGCCACCAGCCCTCCAGCATGGCCACCAGCTCTCCAAGGCCACCAGCTCTCCAAGGCCACCAGGGTTCCAGCACAGTCTTAGAGTGCCTCAAGGAGCTCCAAGAGAACTGCTGAGGGACTTGGGACAATGCATGGAGGGACAGGACACAGGGAATGGCCCCACACTGCCAGAGGGCAGGGACAGATGGGATACTGGGAAGGAATTCCTCCCTGGGAGGTGCTGAGACACTGGGATGGATTTCCCAGAGGATGTTCCACCCCTGGGAGTGTTCCAGGCCAGGTTGGACAGGGCTTGGAGCAACCTGAGCTGGTGGGAGGTGTCCCTGCCCATGGCAGGGGTGGATGGGATGAACTTTAAGGTCCCAAACTCAAACTAGTCTGGGATCCAATGATTCCATGATCTTAGAGGTCTCCTCCAACCTTGACTATGATTCTTTGGAGCAACCTGAGCTGGTGGGAGGTGTCCCTGCCCATGGCAGGGGTGGATGGGATGAACTTTAAGGTCCCAAACTCAAACTAGTCTGGGATCCAATGATTCCATGATCTTAGAGGTCTCCTCCAACCTTGATGACTCTATGATTCTAAGCCCAGGGAGGTGGTGGAGTCACCATCCCTGGAGGTGTTTAAGAGGCATCTGGATGTGGCACTGGAAGATCTACTTAGGTGTTGGAGCAATGACAGGTTAATGGTTAGATCTGATGACCTTAAAGGTCTCATCTGACCCTGATGACCCTATGACTTCATGTCCAGGGAGGTGGTGGAGTCACCATCCCTGGAGGTTTTTAAAAGGTGCCTGGATGTGCTGGAAGATATGATTTAGGGTTTAGGGGTCACAGCAGTGACAAGTTAAGGGTTGGACTTCATGATCTTAAGAGGTCTCTTCCAACCTTGATGGTTCTATGCCCAAGGAGGTGGTGGAGTCACCATCCCTGGAGGTGTTTGAGAGGTGTCTGGAGACACTGGAGGATCTGGTTTAGGATTTAGGAGTTTCAGCAGTGACAGGTTAAGGGTTGGACTTGACCTTCGAGTTCTCCTCCAACCTTGTTGACTGTGACTCCTTCACCAGCAGGTGTCAGGATGCTGATCCCACTGAGGTGTTAACCCCACCAAGTGTCCCCCAAAACTCACCTCCCCATAACCACAGACCACCACCTGCTTCCCTCCAAACATCACATCCGTGGTCCTCTTCAGGCTGAGGGACAGAGAGAGACCTGTGTTGGGATTAGTCAAGTCCCACCCAGCAAGGACAAACTGCAGAGCTTCATCTCTGCTCCAGAGGAGCTGGATCCAAAGCCACCAGGGTGGAAGGGACAGTGAGGTCCAGGATGGGACTCACCCATCCAGGATGGACTCCCGACAGCAGTAGAGGTTGTCAAACTTCTGCTTGGTCACAGAGTCATTGACATTCATGGCTGGGACACACAACTTCCCAGCCTTGGACAGCTGGTAGAGCCTGGAGAAGGTCAGAGGTAGGTCAGAAGAGGCAGGAGATGCCTCCTAAGTGATGCCAGGATCAGCACTCCCAACCTTCTCACCTGTGCACACCAGTCACGCTCTCCTCCACGATCCCTCGGATCTTCTTGAACACACTCGGGTACTTCTTATAGACCCAATGGGTCAGGTCTCCACCATCATCCAGGATCTGGAGAACAAGCAAGGAAAACCATGGAGCAACCAAACCTTCCACTGGAGAAGATCTGGAGAACATCTTCAGGCACTGCTGGGGGCTCAACATGCCTCCAAGCTGGAGTGTCCTCCAGAACATTGAGGGTTCCTCAGCCTTGGGTGGAGCTGATGGATCCTAACAGGGTTTCCTGCTTCTCCTACTGCCTGGACAGGTAACCACAGGTAGCACCAACCAACCAGGCTGAGCTCAGGAGGTCATGGCCTGGAAGCCAACAGGGAAGAGGAGAGGCTGCAGGAGATGTCACAGCCCAATGACATGAGCTGCTGGTGGCCATGGACACACACCAAGGGGTGTCACTGCTCTGGTAAAGGAAAGGACCCCACAGAGACCTTAACTTTGGGAGAGGGTGGGTGAGATCTGTGCTGAAAGAGGAGGAAGAAGTCCTGTGGTTCTTGGCTCAAGGGAGCTCCATCAGGAGATGCTCCTATGCCATTGGATGTACCAATTTCTGCAGCTCCTGAGCCTCCCACGGCTGCTCCCAACCCATCTCCAGCTGCTGCTCTCCAGGACATCATCTCTGTATCTCCTCAACCTCCCACGGCTGTTCCAACCCAGAACATCATCTCTGTATCTCCTCAACCTCCCATGGCTGTTCCAACTCAGAACATTATCTCTGTATCTCCTCAACCTCCCACGGCTGTTCCAACCCAGAACATCATCTCTGTATCTCCTCAACCTCCCATGGCTGTTCCAACTCAGAACATTATCTCTGTATCTCCTCAACCTCCCACGGCTGTTCCAACCCAGAACATCATCTCTGTATCTCCTCAACCTCCCATGGCTGTTCCAACCCATCTCCAGCTGCTGCTCTCCAGGACATCATCTCTCCCAACCCATCTCCACCTGATGTTTTCCAGGACATCATCTCTGCAGCTCTTCAACCTCCCATGGCTGTTCCAACTCCAGACATCATCTCTGCAGCTCTTCAACCTCCCATGGCTGTTCCCAACCCAGAACATATCTCTGTATCTCCTCAACCTCCCATGGCTGTTCCAACCCAGAACATCATCTCTGTATCTCCTCAACCTCTCATGGCTGTTCCAACTCAAGATATCATCTCTGCAGCTCCTCAACTTCCCATGGCTGTTCCCAACCCATTTCCACCTGATGCTCTCCAGGACATCATCTCAGCACCTCCTCAACCTCCCAAGGCTGTCCCAACCCATCTCCAGCTGCTGCTCTCCCACCTCCCCAGGTCTCAGAGCTCCTGGCAAGACCAGTGTGTGACCAGGTATTCCCATCAGGCTCCCCAGGAGCAACCCCAGGGTGAGGAGCACCCCATGACCACTGTGGAGAGGAAGAGGAAGGGCTGGTGAAGGCTCTTTACCATGTTGGCCTGCCACCCATCCATGTTAACACAGCGGTCGATGCACCACCAGAAGTCATCTTCTGACTCCCCTTTCCAGGCAAACACAGCAACACCTGGAACAAGAGGAGCATCCTTGGCATCTGCTGGGCTTGGCAGAGCTCTCTCCTGCTTGACCAACTCCAGAAGAACATGGACAGGAGGTCCAAGGGGCCATGAAGAGATCCCACCACAACCCACACCATGGTCACACCTGTCCAGCCCTCCCTAAACAACCATTGACCCAAAGCATTCCCAAAGCAGCAGCCTGGGACCAGGAGGTAGAGCCAGGAGAGGTTGGGAAGGTTCTGCCACCCCCAGACTGGTCGTACTCACCAGCTTCTGCCAAGGCAGCTGCCACCTCGTTCTGGGTGGAGTAGATGTTGCAGGCAGACCAGCGGCACTGAGCTCCCAGCGCACACAGCGTCTCGATCAGCACCTGGGCACAGCAGGGCAAGGCAGACATGAACATCCTGGACCATCCATGGGCATGATGGATCATCCATGGACATCCTGGACCAGCCATGAACATCCTGGACCATCCATGGGCATAATGGACCATCCATGGGCATGATGGACCACTCATGGGCATCCTGGACCATCCATGGACATCTTGAACCATCCATGGACATGCTGAACCATTCATAGGCATCCCAGACCATCCGTGAACACTCTGGACCACCCATGAATGTTTTGAATCATCCATGAACATTCTGGACTGCCTATGAACATGTTGGACTATCCATGAACATGTTGAACCATCCATGAACATGCTGGACCATCCATGAACATGCTGGACCACCCATGAATGTACTGGGCCATCCATGAACGTTCTGGGCCATCCATGAATGTCCTGGACCATCCATGGACATGCTGGACCAGAAACACACACAGCAGAATGTCTCCAAAAGGTTTGTAGAATACTAGAGGTGCCTCATAGTGTCATAGAATGTCAAGGGGTTGGAATGGACCTTAGAGATCATCCAGTGCCAAGCCCTGCCCTGGGCAGAGACACCTCTCACCAGAGCAGGTTGCTCAAGGCTTTAACCAACCTGGAATGAACAGTAACAGGGTTGGGGCAACCACAGCCTCTTTGGGCAACCAAAACCTCCCTGGGGCATCCACAACCTCTTTGGGGCATCCACAGCCTCCCTGGTGCACCCACAACCTCCTTGTCCTGTCCCTGCAGCTCCTAACCAAGAGTCCTCTGCAGCTTCCCTGGAGCCCCTTCAGCTCCTGGCAGGTTGCTCTAAGGTCTCCACACAACCTTCTCCTCTCCTGACTGAACAGCCCCAAGGATTCCCCAAGTTTGGGAAGCCAAAGGGACTTTGTCTCCAGGAAAGACCTGGTGTCTCCCACCCCAGACCATCCCACCCCACCCCACTCACCGCGGTCTGGGCCGTGATGTGGGTGCAGCCAACGATCTTAGCTCCAGCCAAAGGTTTCTCCCCTTGGGCTCTTTTCCTGAGTGAGATCAGAGCTGACATATCTGCAGAAGGAAAAGAGAGGTTTAGTGGTGGCTCAGGTCAGAGAGGACCTTCTCTGCCCTCCTTCTCCTCTTCTTCTTGGGTTCTCCAGCCCCACAGCCAAGGTGGACACTCCTCACCCCTGGGCTGGAAGGTCAGTGCAAGATGAGACCAAAACATCAGTGTGACTTGTCACTTGGCCACATAAGGACCAGGTCTAGGTCACGCACTGCCCTGAAGGCAGCTCAGCACAGTCACCAGTCCTGAGGCACCAGGAGAAACATCTAGAGGTGGACACAGAGCTGTCTCTGAACATGCCTGGGTCAACTTCTCCTCCTAAAAGGCGTCCAAGAGTTGAGCTGCCCAATGACCTCACTTGAAGTGCCACCTCAGCTCTCCAGAAGCCCCAAGGGAAGGGCTTGGACCTCGCAGTTCTCCTGTCTCCAAAAGCATTGCAAGATCCTTGTCCATCCAAAGCCACCAGAACATCACACCCCCAAGAGCTCTAAGAAGTGGACACCACACACTGCCAATGTTTGGTGGCACATCCAGCTCTTCCCTCACTGATTTTTGGGGGAAAACAGAGGATCCAAGGCTGGGAATCTGTGCAGAATGGGACCACCACTCACTTGGCCACATAAGGACCAAGTCTGAGTCAGGCACTGCCCTGGAGGCAGCTCAGCACAGTCACCAGTCCTGAGGCACCAGGAGAAACATCTAGAGGTGGACACAGAGCTGTCTCTGAACATGCCTGGGTCAACTTCTCCTCCTGAAAGGCGTCCAAGAGTTGAGCTGCCCAATGACCTCACTTGAAGTGCCATAAGCCCAAGGGAAGGGCTTGGACCTCTCAGTTCTGCTGTCTCCAAAAGCATTGCAAGATCCTTGTCCATCCAAAGCCACCAGAACATCACACCCTCAAGATCTCTGCTGTACTAGAGTATGGACACCACATGCCACCAACCACATCCAGCCCTTCCCTCACTGATTTTTTGGGGAAAACAAAGGATCCAAGGCTGGGAATGGCCATGGCTCAGCTCCTGGTCTGCATGGGATGGTCCAACAGCCCCAGGAGTTCCTCACTGCACCATACCTTGCTCGGCGATCTCAATCTCTCGGCGCCCAAACTCTGCCTGCTTGATGTTCTTCACGCAGAAGTTGCTGCTGCCCTTGGAGTTGGTTTGTTGCTTCTCTCGAGGTGACACCTCATCATCAGAGCTGTCTGTGTATGAGGCAGCTAAAAGAAGACAGGACTGGGTGTTATTCCAGGTCTGATGGATCCAAGGATCTCCTAACCTTCAGCTTTCTGCTCTGTTTCCCTTCCCACTGTTCACTCCTGGCTCAAACTGCCAAACTCCTAAGGAAGATCAAGATCCAGAAGGAATTCTGCACTCTTGAGTTCTAAAACAACCCAGAGCTAAGAGGGTTATCCACTGGCAACCAATGCCTGAGCTTCAGGAATCCCTGGAGTCTAGAGGGAGGTGTCCTTGCCCATGGGGCTTGGGACTGTGGATGTCCCAAGGACGTTGTAGATGCCCCAAGGAGGCTGTGGATGCCCCAGGGAGGCTGTGATTGCCCCAAGGAGGTTGTGGTTGCCCCAGGGAGGTTGTGGATGCCCCAACCCTGTCACTGTTCATTCCAGGTTGGCTAAAGCCTTGAGCAACCTGCTCTGGTGAGAGGTGTCCCTGCCCAGGGCAGGGGTTGGCACTGGATGATCTCTAAGCTCCATCCCAAGCCCTGAACACACTACAAAACCATCTCCTCCATGCCCAAGCAGAAGCAGGAGGACAATCCCTGGTGTGAGCAGTGGCACCACTCCTGGCTGGGGGAGAGGAGCCCCCAGAGCTGTGGCACCTACCTGAGCTGTAGCTGTCGGTGGAGGATTGGGAAATGGAGCGGGACAGGGAGCGCCGGCCGGTCTTGGTGGGGAACTTGGAGAACTCCTGCATGTCATCTGCAAACTGGATTTGCTGAGAGACAGGGAGAGAGGTGCCAAGTCAGGAGGTGATCCTCAGGGCAGGACACCTGCCCACAATCCATGGGGCTCTGGCTCCCTTCAGCCCACCTGGGTTACCTTCAACCCACCTGGATTGGACTCCCTTCAGCCTCCCTGGACAATCTCAGTCCACTTGGATTGGACTCCCTTCAGCTCACCTGGGTCACCTTCAGCCCTCCTGGACTGAGTTCCCTTCAGCCCACCTGGACAACCTTCAGCCCACCTGGACAACCTTCAGCCCACCTAGACTGGACTCCCTTCAGCCTACCTGGACTAGGGTCCCTTCAGTCCACCTGGACTGGGCTCCCTGCAGTCCAAATGAACTGGACTCCCTTCACTCCACCTGGACTGGGCTCCCTTCATTCCACCTGAGCTCCCTTCAGCCCACCTGGACAACCTTCAGCCCACCTGGACTAGGCTTCCTTCAGCCCCCTGGACTGGACTCCCTTCACTCCACCTGGACACCCTTCAGCCCACCTGGACTGGATTTCCTTCAACCCACCTGGGCTACCTTCAGCTTACCTGGACTGGGCTCCCTTCAGCTTACCTGGACTAGGTTCCCTTCATCCCACTTAGATTAGACTCCCTTCAGTCCACCTACAAAACCTTCAGTCCACCTGAGCTCCCTTCAGCCCACCTGGATTGGACTCCCTTCACTCCACCTGGACTGTGCTCCCTTCAGTCCACCTGGGCTACCTTCAGCCCACCTGGACTAGGCTTCCTTCATCCCACCTGGACTGAGCTCCCTTCACTCCACCTGGACTCCCTTCAGCCCACCTGGACAACCTTCAGGCCACCTGGACTGGACTTGGCCTCCCCTGAGCCCACCTGAACTGTTGTAGTCCCCAACCTCAGCTCAAATCCACCCAGGAACAGAGCTGTGCCCAAAGGAAGCTTCCTGTGCCTCCTCAGGACATTCCACAGCATGTTCCACATGGGACACAACATCTGGAGCCAAATGGAGCACCCAGAACATCTCCTTTCCCCATCTCCACCTCTCTGAGGCTCCTCCAAACCTCAAACCCCTGATCCTCTGCTCCCACAGAGCCTGTGGAGACATCTCCCAGCTGATCCCAATGGATCTCTGCAGCAGGTCCAGGAGCAGGTTAAATCCACAGCCCCTCCTTCCAAAAGCCACAGCAGAAGCCCAAGGAAAAGGGAAAAGCCTAAGCCAGGGAGGAGTTGAGTTTCCATTGGCTTTCAGCCTCCTCTGCAGGATGAGATGTTTCCATTGGAAGATAATTCCCAAACAGCTTCTCCTCTTTCCTCTCTCAGCCAGAGGCAACTTGAGGCTTCAGCACCTTCCTCAGGATCATCACATTTAAGTGTTGGGCCAAGAAAAGAGGAAAACTCATCCCAAACCTGCTCAGCTGCAGCCAAGGAAAAACCTTATTGCTGCTCCTGCCAGGGAAAGACATGGAGAGGGGAGAGGGAAGTGGGAAAAGCAAAGGGAATCCAGGATGCAAACCCTGAGGGTCTCATGGAATTTGGGATGGGATGGGAAGGATAGGGATGATGGAAAGATGCTGCACTCCCAACCTCACACCAGCCCTGGGTGCTGAGCCATCTCCAAGGCACATCCTCACTTTCTAGACCAACCAACCCTTCTGAAAACCAGGGAATGGGAGGAATTGCATCCAGAGGGAAAGGAACCCCCAGCAGCAAAGCAGCGAGTGCTGAATTAACCACAGTAATCCCCGCGGTGGCTTTACCCGAGCTCAGCACATCTCCCTCAGCTTAGCCAAATCTGCCCTGGCTAAAATTATCAGCAAACCTGACCAGCAGCTTCCAAAGCGAAGGAACCATCCAATCCCTCGGATCCTAAGGAATTCCTGCCACCTCCAGCCCGGAGGGAAGCGCAGGGAATTCGCAGGGAATTCACAGGGCAGAGCCCGAGAGGAGGTGACTGAGCTCCCTGCGCTGCCTCCACGTGCTGGAGCTGCTTTAAAGGCACAGAGCAAATCTCCTAATCCCTCAGCTCGTCACGGCAATTGGAATAAAAACGGAATTCCCGGCTGAGGGGCACGGGGGGATGTGGTTTCCCTGGGACTGGGGCTGTGCAGCTTCCAGCCAGACAGGTAAATCACATCCCAAACTTCATCCTGTTGGGAGAGGCTTTTCCCAAGCTGGTGGTGCATGTTAAGAGCAAGGAAAGTGTTTGGTTGTTTAAGGAATTCTTAAGGATGGAGGGAAAACATCCCTGCACATCCAATAGCATCACTATTCCATACAGGAGATGGAGTCTGTGCCAAGGGAATAGTTCCTTGTTTGGATTAGGATGGATTTGGGAGCTGTTCTGTAGGAAAACAGCAGGATCCAGCAGCTCCTGGCAAGTTGTCATGGAGCACCAGTCACACCTGCCATGCCAGGAGGATGCTCTTTTTCCCTTGCGGAATTTGATGTCTCTGTGCCCATTCCCACCCAGATCCAACACTTCCCAAAGTGTTTCCAGCTCCAAACATCCCTCCAGGCACTGGGGCTGGAGCAGAGGGAGCTGAGTCCTTGCTGATACAGCACCACATCCCAAAAAAGGGCAAAATCAGGTGCCAAGGACCCTCAGGATGATCCCAAGGAAAACACTGCACTGCCCAGGGCAGCACAACACCACCACGAGCAGCTCCAAGAAGCTTTTCCTTAAATTCTAAGGAAAAATCCATTGGGAATCCTGGTAGAGAAGCCTCAAACCAGCAGGATGAGTATCCCCAGCTCATCCAGCCTCATTATTACAGCACAGGAAGGACAAACAGATTCCAGGTCTGACCTGGCACCACCTCCCCAGCAGCTCCTGATTGCAGGGTGTGATCAGTCACGCCAGGATCCCAAGGATTTTCCCAGGGAGCAGCTTCGGGAGCTGAGAGAGGAGAATTCCACCCTCTGACTCTGGAGCTGCAGAGGGATACAGCACCACATCCCAAAAGGGCAAAATCAGGTGCCAAGGACCCTCAGGA